ACAGAAACAGAGCTATAGTTCATTCATAAACTTGAACTGGGGTTCGCTGGCAATACAATGTTGGCGTAAGATTATTTACTTTGTTGCCTAATGACAAGGAGGGGGTGGGGTATGAGTGGTCAAGGTCATTTTGGGGGCTTGAATGAACTTTTAAGTGGCAAATTGTATTTTATTCATCGGCTGAATTGAAATTCAAAATAATTTTTTTTTTTTCGTCAATCACAAATGAGTTTTGAACAAAATTAATTGCCGCACAGAGTTCAACTGACCCCTGCCCCATGCTTTCTCACCTCGTTTTAATTGAGTAATTTCAATTTTTTTATTATTATTATTATTATTATTTTTTGATTCGTTTTCTCACAAATCAAAAAGGAATAATTAATTTCAACATTTGTTGATCATTGTTTCAATAACTTTACTGCTTCATAATTTCAACTTATTCTTGGTGTGAAACGAGTTTTGCCGTCGAGAACACCGGTACTGTCTAATTGAATTTCAATTATAAAGTTGATTTTTTATTTTGCATTATTTATTAAAAAAAAACTACAACAACGTCTTGCCTAAGTCCACATTAATTTACATGAACTTATGGTTAATTGTTACAAGATAGACGGCGAATGAATGAATAAATGAATGAAAACCTAGGAAGTTTAAGGCTGTGATTAACGCTAGACATTCAATGTTGGACCGGGGTATTCGAACAAGTTTGATGTTGTAAGCAACATTAAGAGGATATATAATTTATAATTATTAAATTTATGGAAAATAAAATTATTTTATTTATGAATATGGACAAATAAGTTCGTTATTTTTGAAAAATTTTTGGTCTCACCTCGGGGTTTTGACATGGGGTTTTATGGGGACCATATGCGCATTAGCCTAATTCTGAATAAAATTACATGACAAATATGTGAGCCAAACTGAAGTCCATGGATTTTTTATTTTCTTAAATATTAACAAAGGACCTAACAAATGTCCTCCACTGCCAGAAGACCTAAAAGGGTCTTCTATGAATATGAGGTCTGTAAAAGGAGATATATGGTCAAAAGAACTTTAGAAAATTTCCTAATGAGAGAATACTTCCAACAAGTCTTCTATGGCAAAAATCCTTCAAAAATTATTCAAAGGACAAATTATTATTCGTCTCATATACAGAAGACCATATCTTCTGCGTTCTGATGTCCTGAAATTTGTTTCTATATAAATTAGAACTTTAAGGGGTATTTTTTAGGTCAAAGGAATATCAAAGGTCTTCTGTAAACAAAAGATCCGTAGAAGAATCTCAATTGGCAGAATACCTTTAGAAAGAGTGGAAAACGGTCTTCTTTAGACAGCGGTCTTGAAAAAGGTCTTCTAGAACATCCGACCTCTTAAGGTTCTTCTGGGGATAGCAGACTTATTAAAAGCTTCTTCTATAGACAGAAGTCCCTAAATACGTTTTCCAAGGACAGCAAACCTCTAAAAGTTTTTCAATGGACAGAAGATTATTAAAAAGCCTTCTTGGATAGAATATTCGAAATAAAAAGATCTTCTATGGCCAGAAGCCCTCTAAAGGCCTTCTGTAGGAAAAAGACTTGGCGAACGTATTTTTATTAAAAATTGGTTAATAGAGACAAGTAAAAAAGCTGCAAGTTCGGCCGGGACATTCTTTGAATACCCTCCACCATTTGCAACGACTTTTGCAATTTCCAAGCAAATAAAATCCGTTAAAAATTCTGTTAAAATCTCAAAAAACCGAATGTAGCCGCTATATTAGGGTCTGTACGACGACGTAGACTTGCATAGGCAACTTTTGTCATTAATCATTACAATATTCAAATGTGAAACTTAAATAAAAAAAATCGGTGAATGATATCCCTAAAATTATCAAAATACCGAATATCGGGAGGTACCGTTATATGGGGGCTATATGAAAACGAGGACCTGCACAGACAATTTTCTGTCATAGGCTGTAGTATCCGTTACGAACTTCAAATACCAAATTTGAAACATTTCCGGTGAATAATGTCGCTTAAATCACCAAAATGCTGCATAAAGGGAGCTACCATTATATGGGGGCTATACCAAAACGTGGACCTACATGACCATTTGAGTAAAATTTTATCAACCTACTTCACTTTGTTCGAAAGCTAGAGTGATTTCCACAGGTTCCATAGGTTTCCTGTAAAAGACAGGTAAGAATGCTTCCTATTTCTATGGAGGACAATTCAAGGTTTTCTATAGATAGAGGAGCTTTAGAAGGTCTTCAAAGGATAGCAGATTTGTGAGAGTATTTGCATAGACCTTTTAGTTATCTTCTACAGACATAAGACATATAAATCACGTAATAACTAAAATCAGGTGGTATCTTTATATAAGGGCTACACCGGTGGACCTATATTGATATTTTTTTGCAAATGGCGTTTCTACACAACAATAACTTAAAATGTCAAAATTTTGCGAAATTAAATGATTAATTTAAAAATATGGCAAAAACGTAAAAAATCGGAGTTATTCAAGGGGACTGTTCTAAAAAGTGGACCGATATGACCCTTATTCTATACCAATAATTCTAAATGAAAATATTGCGAAATATATCTATACATGGTCAAACCTGTATAAGGACCTTAGAACCAGGAATTCCTTTAAGGTTTTATCTAGATAACAGTGCTATCAAGGCATTTTCCACAACCCAGACTGGCTCCTGAGCGGTGAAATTTGTTCAGAAATTGGGAATAAGTGCTAAATTTTTCAGAAATAAGCTAGGTTTTTATACCCTTGACCACACTCACCACACTGTGGTCAGGAAGATAGACCCTTTGTGTAACATGGAGAAGGAAACGATATAGATCCATATTTACTTTTGAGGATGCTCCCAGAATTACTTTCTGATATCCGTCCGTCTATCTGTCCATGTACTTTTGTGAACAAAATGCAGATAGAAGGTGGAGGGTATTAAAAGTTCGACCCGGCCGAACTTAATGTTTTTTTTACTTGTTTAATATAAACCTTCTCGAAGTGATATCATGCACTCTATAACTATGTTATTTGGTATGAGAGAAAATGACATCGTCAAATTTGCTGAAAGTCGATTTAAAATTGGATAAACCTTCCCTCTGAACCCACATTATAACTGATCTAAAGCCGTGATTAGGATTTAGTAAGATTCACAGTTGGTATGATCTACTTCACATAGATTCCCAATATAAACTTTTTTCTACGGAAGCTCTACTAAATATGCATAGGGGAATAGGGTGTCATATAGCCCGACTTTTGACTTTTCCTTACTGGTTTATTAACAAAAATTGATGCCAGTTTTTACGGCACATATTAAGTATTCAAATTCCTTTTACTCAGAGACTAACTTTAAAATTTGATTAAGAATAATTCCTATTCTGACACAATTTCCAAAAAATTAAGTGTAAATGAAGATTTTGACTCGGATTGGATAAGTGTTAAATTAACAGTACAAATAAGCAACGACATCATTTGCACTTTTAGAACATAAATTTCAAATGTAATTTTCATAAAAACTATTGTACACAGATATATGATCTATTCTGAGATTTATAGTGAAATTTTGTGAAGAATATTTCTTCTTCGGACACCTTCTGCCTAAAACGACATTTAATGACATTTTCAGGCGTCAAATCGAAAAAAGTCAGGGGAAAAATTTATGAAAAAATAGGAAATACTTTCGAACATTGATGTAAACATATTTTGGAATACAATGAAAATGAAGATTTCTTTTCATTGGTGACTTATAGTAAAATTTGATAAAGAATATTTTTGTCTTTGACGTCATCCTTCTAAAGTTATGATTTGTTGGAGATTTTTGCCCAAACTCACTTAAAGTATGGCTTTAACCCTAAAATGTGTTTCTAATATGTATGAACTACTGGCGTATAGGTAAGATTTAGACTTTTGATGTCTCCTAGGGCCTATAGTAGAATTTCATGACAAATCATTTTGTAGAATATTTTGAGTTGCTAGGACCTCGTTTAAAGGGAGTTTTTAACCATATTTTAGAAATAGAACCAAAAAGACCCCTTTGTTGACTTGCTCGAAGGTTAAAATTTTCGACCAAAATATTCCTCGTGTTTCTTTCCGCAAAAAGGGTATTCTTAGAAGTCTTAATCCAAAAATTTCAAAAAACTGTGGAAGAGAGGCGAATTTTTTCTTCACTCTATATAGGTTACTTTGCGAGGGTTAAAATTTTCGACCAAAATATTCCTCGTATTTTTATCTGCAATATTACCCAAGACTAAATACCTAAAATTCACGGATGTCGAGGAATCCTAATCCAAACATTTGCAAAAGTGTGGAGGAGAGAATTTGCATTTAGGTTACTTTGCCATGTAAACTTTGAAAACCCCGATACACGTATCTTCTTTTTCTCAGCTCTACTTTCATAATCTGATAGATTTTCTCCGTAATTATTTTTTAAGATGCAACAGGGTAATCTTTTTTTTTATTTCTTAAATTTGTATCCCGTTTTGAAATGATATGTATTTCTGTTCTAATTTAATTTAATTACATTTGAACAAAAAAGTCTTTTCCATGATTTCTTAATCCCTCAAATTATTTATTTCATTAGGAAAATTGAAAAGAAATTTCAAATACAAATAAGGAGACATCATCCAATCTTAGAAAAAATAAAACAAAACAAATAAAGGAAAAAAATCATAATTCCCAAAACAAAACTGACATACCAAGAAGACGAGCAGAGGAATGAATCTAAACAAAATGCATATGGGAATTAAATGGATTCGTATTTTTCTTCTGTACAATTATGGAGATTAAAAACAAGATTTTCAAATCAAACAAACGAAGAAATAAAGAAAACAACAAGGTAAACAAATCCCATCAAATCATTTTTATTTACAATAGGGGTCTCTTCTCTTTTTTGCTTCGAGAGAGAGCGAGAGAAAGAGAGAGTCATATGGATGCACCTAAATCTAATGTAATCTAATTATGATGACTATCTTTGACATTCAGATACTAGGAATCGGTTTACATACCTTTGGTAATGAGGCTAATACTTGTTGTTTGACATCCCACACCAGTTTGTCGGAGGGGAACTGCAGGCATTTGTAGACGTTCAGCTCGGGCACATGGATGCGCACCAGCAGCCAACCGTCTCGCGGCTCTGGCGGTGGTTCATCGTCAAATCCCGACCCGGAACCACTGTCCATATTGGCCGGGTTTTGTTTGACTTTGGGTGTGGGTGGGTGATACGTCGTAATTTTGAATGTTTTTTATGGCAACGTTGGGGGGAGAAGAAATAAGATCTGGAGTTCTTTGTTTTTGCTTTGAAGTTTCAAAAATGTTGAGACTTCTTCTTCTTGTTGTTTGCGTTTTTGTTTTTCTCTACAAAGTTTATAATTTATCGATAATTGTTGTTTCTGTTGTTGTTGTTGATTTCTTGTTTTGTTTACAAAATTCTTAACGAAGTGTGAATATAAAAACTTCAGTTCAGTTCAATACAAATCAGTCGTTGTTTGGCGAATTAGATTTTCTTTCCCGTTCGGCTTAATGAAAATTTCTCCCCAGTTTTGAATAATTTTTTTCTTTTTTACTGGGGAGCAGTCAAGGAGTGTGTTCTCTCTTTTTCTCTTATTAAGTGGGTTTTCCTTTGTGTTGCAATACAATTCAATTTTGTTTTTTCTGAAACGAGCGGATATCGTGGGGAGTTTAATTTGTTTACAAATTAACAATCAGTGTTAATCGTTCTTTTATTCTTGTTCTCGTTCTTCTCCTTCTTCTTCGGCTTTCAATTTTGTTCTAATGGTCGAGGGACTGGTGGTGAAGTGGAGATTTCCTGTAATTATTGCCGGCTATCCTCGTGCGTTTTTATTTAACAGCCGTTGCAGAAACGCATGCCACTTGTTTTCTTTGTGTAAACATTTTGCTGCTTTTCATCGTCCCACACACCCATGCAAACAAATGAATAATTTAAATGCGTTTTTCTTTTCTTTCGTTCCGACGGAATTTGATTTTAATTATCTGTAATGAAAGAGAGATGAATGAATTATTAATAAATGCCTTGAAAGGTAAATAAAAAATGAGTAGAGGTGTACATTTCGATACGGAAAATGTGTTATGGAAAATATTTTCCATAAGAAAATTTGTTATCGAACATATTTTATATAAGAACATGTGTTATCGAACACATTTCCGCTAGGAAAATGTGTTATCGAACACATTTCTATATGAAAATGTGTAATCGAACACATTTTCTATATGAAAATGTGTAATCGAACACATTTTCTATATGAAAATGTGTAATCGAACACATTCTCAATAGGAAAATGTGTTATCGGACGCATTTTCTATACGATATCGAACACATTTTCCCTACGCAAATGAACACATTTTCTGTACGAAAATGTGTTATCGAATACATTTTCTATACGAAAATGTGTTATCGAATACATTTTCTATACGAAAATGTGTTATCGAATACATTTTCTATACGAAAATGTGTTATCGTACACATTTTCTATACGAAAATGTGTTATCGAATACATTTTCTATACGAAAATGTGTTATCGAATACATTTTCTATACGAAAATGTGTTATCGAATACATTTCCTATACGAAAATGTGTTATCGAACACATATCCTACACGAACATGTGTTATCGAACACATTTTCGATACGGAAAATGTGTTATCGAACACATTTTCGATACGGAAAATGTGTTATCGAACACATTTTCGATACGGAAAATGTGTTATCGAACACATTTTCGATACGGAAAATGTGTTATCGAACACATTTTCGATACGGAAAATGTGTTATCGAACACATTTTCGATACGGAAAATGTGTTATCGAACACATTTTCTATAAAAAAATGTGTTATCGAACACATTCTCTATACGAAATTCTGTTATCGAACCCATTTTCTACAGGAAAATGTGTTATTCTATAGGAAAATGTGTTGTCGAACACATTTTCTGTAGGAAAATGTGTTATCGAACACATTTTCTATAGGAAAATCTGTTATCGAACACATCGAACTCTGATGCTGGGGAATAGTGTTTTCTATAGGAAAATGTGTTATCCAACAAATTTTCTATACGAATATGTGTTATCGAAAAATTTTCTATACGAAAATGTGTCATGGAACACATTTCCTATTCGAAATTTTGTTATCGAACACATTTTCTATGGGAAATTGTGTTATCGAACACATTTTCTATACAAAAATGTGTTATCGAACACATTTCCTATACGAAATGTGTTTTCGAACATATTTTCTATACAAAAATGTGTCATGGAACACATTTCCTATTCGAAATTTTGTTATCGAGCTAATTTTCTATAGGAAACAAAAATGTGTTATCGAACACATTTCCTATACGAAATGTGTTTTCGAACATATTTTCTGTACAGAAAATGTGTTATGGAACACATTGCCTATACGAAAATGTGTTATCGAACACATTGCATATACGGAAAATGTGTTATCGAACACATTGCATATACGGAAAATGTGTTATCGAACACATTGCCTGTACGGAAATGTGTTATCGAACACATTTTCTATACGGAAATGTGTTATCGAACACATTTTAATGGAAACATGTGTTATCGAACACATTTTCTATAAGAACAATTAATTTTAGATCAAATTTCCTTTATAAAAATATGCTATCGAAACCATTTTCCACCAAAAATATCTTCCAACTTTTATTTTGTCTGTTGTATTTTTTTTTTTTTTGAATCTGAAACAAAAAACTGGGTCACTCTTGGTCTGTGTGGCCCTTCATACCCTTACGACAGGCTATGCTATCAACATTAATTTTGAAATTCTGTTCCATGGCACGGACTAACATTTGACACATTTCGCGTTATATTTGACAAAGTCATGAGTAGTAGTGGAGGAAAAACTGCTGACTGATGACTGACTAACTGGGTGTTCGTTGCGTCAACTGACTGACTGACTTGTGGAGAATATTGGTTACACTTCATGGTGTTGAAAATTTGTGCAAAAAATTGTGTCAGAGGCACTATACTGGCTTTGGGTGTGTAGCTGTGTGAGTGAGCGCGGTTGTTGGATATGAACTGACTGACTGACTGGGGTGACATAGTAACACTTCATTGGCAGTTTTTGTGCAAAAAAAAAAAAACAACAATCCCGACACAGTGACTGAAGTGCATGAACATTTATGTGGTTGCGCCTATTTCTTGTGTGCTCCGCATTTCCTCTCCTTCCCCTATCGTACATGTGATTTTTTTTTTCTTAATAGAAGCATAATTAATTTGTAAAATATGTATGTGCAAAAAACTATTGTTTGCTCGTCTATCCGCCTGCATGCCTGCCTGCCTGTTTGGCTGGCGGACTAACTGTTTGCCTGTCTGCTGTCCGTGCCTCTTTCGTTTGTTTCTTTTTGTGCTCACCCAAAACACATGTGGGTCAACAAAAGGCGGCTCCGTGTAAACATAAATTGCCTTGCATTTTAACATGTTTTAATTATAGCTTTTTGAACTCGTCAACAACAGCAAATGTTGTTGTTGCCGTATTTTGTTTTTATTATTGTTTTACCCGCTAATGGTGAGCTTTAATTTCCCCCGAGGGGGCGCACCGTTCAATGTGAATATTGCACAAAATATGAAATGCAAATTAACAAGTTATTATATTTAAATGTGGCAAAACTGTTGTTGACATGGGACTTAGGGGTCAGGGTGAGGTGGCGGGAGGTTATAGTAGGGGACAATCAAATTTATTAAAACTGTTGCGACTACTAGGTGGGGAACTAAGGCCATGGAGATTATAAAACGTACATAATTTGGAAATTAAACAGAGAATTGTTTAAAAATTTGGAACATTTTGAGATTAAGAAGATGTCAGCTGTTTTGAAATCGAGTTCATTGAACACTCAACAACGGCCATTTTAATAATTATTATAACCTTCACAAAAGTAGGGAGGATATATATGGCAGCTATAGCTATATTTGAACAAATTCTCTCCGAATTCGATGAACTTGCTTCTAGACTCAATTCAGTCGGATGTACCAAAATTTTGGACTGATGTTGACATTTGGTGCACAATTAACACGAAATCGGTTGAAGATGTATATTTAAATCGGAACCGATCTTGATAAAAGAGGATGTCAACTGTTTTGAGGTCGAGTGAAGTATTATTATTATTATTATTATTATTATTATTATTATTATTATTATTATTATTATTATTATTATTATTATTATTATTATTATTATTATTATTATTATTATTATTATTATTATTATTATTATTATTATTATTATTATTATTATTATTATTATTACTATTATTATTGTTGCTATTATATTATTATATTATTATTATTATTATTATTATTATTATTATTATTATTATTATTATTATTATTATTATTATTATTATTATTATTATTATTATTATTATTATTATTATTATTATAGATTATTATTATATTATTATTATTATTATTATTATTATTATTATTATTATTATTATATTATTATTATTATTATTATTATTATTGTTATTATTATTATTATTATTTATTATTATTATTATTTATTATTATTATTATTATTATTATTATTATTATTATTATTATTATTATGATTATTATTATTATTATTATTATATTTATATTATTATTATTATTATATTATTATTATTATTATATTATTATTATTATTATTATTAATTATTATTATATTATATTATTATTATTATTATATTATTATTATTATTATATATTATTATAATTTATTATTATTATTATTATTATGTATTATTATTATATTATATTATTATTATTATTATTATTATTATTATTATTATATTATTATATTATGATTATTATTATTATTATATTTTATTATTATTATTATTATTATTATTAGTTATTATTATTATATTATTAGTATTATTATTATTATTATTTATTATTATTATTATATTATTATTATTGATTATTATTATTATTATTATTATATTATTATTATTATTATTATTATTATTATTATTATGATTATTATTTATTATTATTATTATTATTATTAGTATTATTATTATGATTATTATAGTATTATTATTATTATTATTATTATTATTATTATTATTATTATTAGTATTATATTATTATTATTATTATTATTATTATTATATATTAGTATATTATTATTATTATTTTATTATTATTATTATTATTATTATTTTATTATTATTATTGTATTATTATTATTATTATTATTATTAGTATTAGTAGTATTATTATTATTATTATTATTATTATTATTATTATTATTATTATTATTATTATTATTATTATTATTATTATTATTATTATTATTATTATTATTAGTATTATTATTATTATTATTATTATTATTATTATATTATTATGATTATTAGTATCATTATTATTATTATTATTAGTATTATTATTATTATTATTATTAGTTATTATTATTATATTATTATTATTATTATATTATTATTATTATTATTATTATTATTATTATTATTATTATTATATTATATTATTATTATTATTATTATTATTATTATTATTACTTATTATTATATTATTATTATTATTATTATTATTATTATTATTATTATTATTATTATTATTATTATTATTATTATTATTATTATTATTATTTTATTATAATTATTATTATTACTATTTTTATTATAATTATTATTATTATTATTATTATTATTATTATTATTATTATTATTATTATTATTATTATTATTATTATTATTTTATTATTATTTTTATTATTATTATTATTATTATTATTATTATTATTATTATTATTATTATTATTATTATATTATTATTATTATTATTATTATTATTATTATTATATTATTATTATTATTATTATTATATTATTATTATTATTATTATTATTATTGTTATATTATTATTATTATCATCATTATTAATGTAATTATTAATAAATAATTAATTTTATTATTATTTAATAAAAATTAAAAAAAATCAAA